TTAATCTGATAAACTCTGATATCAATTATTGTAATGGATTTTATATCTCTATATTTATACTTTTATTTAATAAAATATCTACAGACAGAACTTTTTTGCTTCCAAGACAATCTTTATTTTTTATTGTATTCTTAATTATTTAAATGTATTTTAGATAGAGGATCTCATACTAACTATATAATATTATGGTTAAGATAACTGTATGGTTAGCCAATGCTAAGTTCTATGCTTTAAGACGTTATAGTGGCAAATATGGGAACCGGCTGTGGCTACAGCATCACATGTGCAGCTTTCTTGCAGAAGAATGCAAATTGTTTGCCCGTATTTTCTGATAACATGCTGCATTCATCTTGCCATTCATTTTCACAAGATTCCACATGCTTTTAGAGTTCACCCCCCCTCAAAAAAAAAAACCCATCAGTGAGCCATAACAATGCTCCACAGCATGGTATTCTGTTCACTATAGGCCTTGTTGACTCCTCTCCAAACATAGATCTTATGGTTGTGACCATGAAGCTCTATATTGGTCTCGTTACTCCAAATTACAGTGTGCCAGAAGCTGTGAGGCATGTCAAGGTGTTGGGCATATTGCAACCAAGCTTGTTTTTGTCATTGGCACAATAAAGGGTTCTTTCTGGCAACTCGACAATGCAGCTCATTTTTGTTCAAATATCATTGTATTTGAAACAACCACACCATCTTTTTGTGGGTTTTTCTTTGTATTTCGAATAATTATTCTGGCAGTTGTGGCTGAAATCTTTAATGGTCTACCTGACCTTGGCTTAGTATCAATAGATCCCTGAATTTTCCACTTCTTAACCCCTTAAGGACACATGACAGAAATATTCTGTCATAATTCCCTTTTATTCCAGAAGTTGTGTCCTTAAGGGGTTAATAATTGATTTAACAGTCTTAACTCGCATTTTCAAGGCTTGTCAACTTGTGTGTCTGTAACAATGCCAAACATCCAAGGGTATGTAAGCTTTTGATCAGGGCTATTTGGGTGATATCTGTTATCATTATGATTTAAAAATGAGACAAACGATAATGTGATAATAAATGGCTTCATATGATCACTATCCTTCAATAAAATAAATTTTTATATGATCAGTCATATTTTCAAAATCAATGCAGAAATTTCACAGTTTTTTGCCAGGGTATGAAAACGTTTGAGCACAACTGTACATTAATTTAATAAAAAAAAAAAAAAAGTTGGCAACTCTGAAACCATGGCTAAACCTGTAGGGAGAAAAAAAATATATTGTTTTATCTGAATTGGAAAAAAACCCAACACAGTTCATCTATGTTGCATTTCAGTTTAACAAATTTTGTCCATGCAATTGTTTAGATAGGCAATAACAGTCATTTTTGCAATGTTCTGTTGGGAGTAGAGATGTCGCGAACCGTGATGGATGCTGTCCAGGAGGTGGGAGGGTCTGGGAGGGAGGGTCTGCTGGAGATTGGCCGGGATGTGTCAGCTGACCGGAGCTCGCCACGAACCGCGGCGAGCCGTTCGCGGGAAGTTCGCGAACGGTTCGCGACATCTCTAGTTGGGAGTTGTCAAAATTATATTATTTTATCTGTATTAAAAAAAAATAAAAGAAAAAAACTTGATTGTTTTTCTTTTTCTGATATTTATCACCAGCAGGAGTAATATTAATTTGAGAAAGGGGATTTTGCACAGTTGATCACCGATTAACCTGATCCACAAGATAGTTTATAGGGACTCTAAAAGTATAAAAAACTATTTAGTACAAAGTAATTTTAATAGGACAAAACCAACTCTTTATTTTAAATCAAAGGAAAGGACTTTTTTTTTGGCCTTTGTTTGCCATGTATGGAACCTAAACGTGTAAAGAGATTTGTAACAAATGTGGAAGAACATATTAAGAAAAACAAAATGAATTTAAAGATCAATTCACATGTTTATCTTGAGGTGTAAGATATACTTTAAAAAGTCCATGTGTTTTTTTTGTATATTGGACGAACAACTAGATACTTCCTTATCTTATAAGTGTGTTGGAACATATAAGAAACATTACACAAAAAAAAAAAAACGAGTAGAAACCCACACTATTTCCTCAAACTTTTAAAATTTTTATTCTTCTGTGCATCAAAACAAATACAAAAGGATTGGAGGTGGTTACAACAAAAACATTGGAATGGAAGAGGTGAAATAAGTATTTAATCTTAATACATGAACTCTGCATGGACTCATTTTTATAACAGGAATTTGTAACAGTTTTATTACAGTTGTTTCAGATTGTACTGTCATACATTTTACCTTAATGCATTTTACCTTAATCAGATCATAAATAATAAGTACAAATATAGAACACCATAAAGATCAGCAATAAAATATACAAATATAGGAACAGCACAAACTTTTAAGACCCATGTATTTAATAGGTTTATTATGATTTCTCTCCCCCCTTCCCCCACTACTTTACTTATGTTCCTCTTCTTAAGCAGTGGTTTGAAATTATAGTATGTGATTCAAGTGTATAGAATAATTAACACTTTGCTCATTCACAAACATTTAAATGAAAATATATACAGTTTATTTATGAAAGGTGTAATTTTATTGTAATAATTTGGGACTCTGTACCAACAAAACTATATAACACTTTCAATCACCAATTAAACTCAGATTGAACATAGAAGCAGTGTGGCTTAAATGCAGGATGCGCCTCACAAATATCCACTGATAGAAGAAGAGCATATTGAAATATCAATGGAACACAAGACGCATTCCAGCAATTTCCATGACCATACAGAACTCTCACAAAGCGGGAAGTAGACGTAGAACTGGAGGAATGCAATTTGAGTTCCACATACAAATAAAGAGACAAAGAAGGAGACAGATCAAACTTATGCACTATCAATGGAACGCAAAGTGCATTCCATATGCTAATTGAGAAGACAGACCAGTAGACATGTGCAATTCATTTCGTTCTGAATGTAAAGTCGGACGAATTTCGGCAATTCGGACATTCCGATGCTTACAAATGTCAGAAGTGCCGAAGCGCAGATATTCCGAAGTGCCAACGTTTGGGAGTTTGGAAGTGCTGTTCTGAAGTGCTGACGTTCGGGAGTTTGGACATGCTGAACCGAACTGCAGTGCCAAAGTTTCGAAGTTCGGTAGTTCTTAAGTGACGAACCGAAGTTCCGAAATTCGGGAGTTTGTAAGTGCCGAAATTCGGGAGTTCGGAAGTGCCGAAATTCGGGAGTTCGGAAGTGCCGAAGTTCCGAAGTGCTTCTGAATTCTGGAAAAACAAGAGAGAGGGAGGGAAAATTACGTGAATAATGACAGGAATCTTGACCAATAAGCTAATTCCTTTTGTGTAATGTAATCCTTGTTTGCCCAATCCAGTTTCACTATTCCCTGTCCAATGAAATTAGCAAATTTTTGTGATTGATGGTAGAGGACAGCCAATTAATGGTGATTTTGTCACTGACACTTGGCCAATGAAGGCATACAGAGTCATTGAGGTGGGATAGTAATAAATCAGGCTGTTGGCTTGCATTCGTGTGACCAGACGGCAGACTATTTGTGATTGCACAAAGAGACTGAGAGAGGTAAACAACATGCCATTTACTTTACTTGTTGCAGACTTGGGGATCCACATTGCTTTTAAGTGTGTGTTCCAGGGAGAGAGAGAGAGAGAAAGAGAGAGAGAGAGAGAGAGAGAGAGAGAAGGGGGGAGAGAGTGAGATTTGCCTTTTTTTCTTCTGCAATCTGCATTCTTTTTTTCCTTTCTTTTTTTTTTTCTTTTTTTTTAAGAGGGGGGTTAGAGAGTGTGTGGCTGTGCAAGCCAGCCTGATTGCCAGAGTCAGTGTCTCTCTGCTGCACTGTCACTTTACTGCAGTGATTTTTTCTTTATTTTTAGCTGTTGTCAGGTAGCCTGATTGATTGTCAGGGTGTCTCTCTGCTGCACTGTGACTTTGCTACAGTGATTAATTTTGTGTTTTTTATTTTTCTGTGATTTAATTTAAATAAAAATTTCATAACACAAAAGAAACCATAATGGATCGATCACGTTCTCCGAGTCCTCACATTCTCCCCTCAAGCAAAGTGACTGAGGAAATTGCTAGCCATCATGTCACTGCTGGTAGTGTTAAGAGGCAGAGCACAGGTAGTGGTACACTTGCATCCTCTTCAACTCACCTGAAGCGGAGGCAAATGAAACAGCAGGAGCTGCTAGTGATTCCAATTCCTGCAACCAAAGCCAGCAGTAGCACTAGAAAGAGTTCAAGCCCAGTTAACTGAGGAGGGCAGGGATGGAAACTTCAGGTCCCAATGCCCAGCTATTTGGCATCAAAAAGCAGCAGCAGTTGCCTTCTAGTAGCAGGGTTGAGATATCCCCTGGGTCCACAAAGCAGCCACCATCCAAATCTCGTAGACTGAAGTTTACTCCCCTCACAACCACCTGCATTGCTAGTGGTGACAGTAGTACCTCTACCTCAACTACTGCCAGCTTCACTGCCATGTTTTACAACAGCTGTGCAGTTTCAACACAGCCTGTTACTGCCACTCATCCATTTAGGCAGACTAAGAGGGAGATATTAGAGTTAGAGGAGGAAGAAATGCTAGTGATACTCGTGCCACCACCACTACTACCCCTGCTACTGCCACCACCTCTCATAGCAGCAGCAGTACAATAATTGGCAACATAATACAAGAAGATATTCTTGTAGTTCCCAGTAGCCAGGGAGAAGAGGGAATTGATCAGCTTGCCCCAATTTCAGCTGCTGGTGACATATCTCTGTTTACCAGCAGCAGAGATATGGAACAAGGCTCTAGTCTAGGAAATGAGCAACTAGACTATGATGATGAGCCTGAAGACAGTCCACCACCACCTACTCAATCTCCCCTACTGATTTCTGCCACCCCAGCTCCAGCAGTGCCAACAACTAGTAGTGGCACCCATCGTTCCACAGTGTGGGAACATTTTGCAACAATTGGTGACGGCCATCTGGCAAAATGTAAACTGTGTGGCAGGGGAGTCGGCTGTGGGAAGGTGTTGGGTCATCTTACTAACTCTGGGATGAACCAACATCTTCATACACACCACAACACCATCTTGCTTAGGCAAAACAGTGGTTTGGCTCCTCCACCTAGCAGTACTAGGATAAGTAGTAGTGCCACCACCACTAGGCAGGACAAGGGGAAGGGGGATCATCGAACTTCTGCTGCAGGGCATAGTTCCACCAGTCATCTAAGTCATGCTGCACAGCCCACTCTAAAACGTTTTGGTGGGCTTCACTCTGTCTAGGCAGCAGTGCAGGAAAATTACTCGGCTTATCGGTGAGCTGATAGTCATTGGAGGTGCCCCTTTTAACATGGTAGAAGGGGAGCCCTTCAAGCATCTTATGGAGGCTGTTACACCGCAATATGTCATTCCATCGCGCACTACTTTTAGCAGGAATGCAGTGCCCTCACACTACCATTCCTGTGTTGCAGTGTTGAAGGAGAACCTGGCAAAGGCTCGTGGCCAGTCAGTGCACTTCACAACTGACTTGTGGAATGCTCCTAGTGGCCAGCATGCCTTCCTGTCCTTGACAGGACATTGGTGTCAGCCCAAGGTGTCAGGAGATGTCACCATGGCAGGCACATGGAGCAAACACTGCTCCTTCCTCCTCCATGCTGAGATAACACAGCAAATATTTTGCAGGCACTAAAGAAGATGGTGATGCAGTGGGTAGGACAGCAGGCAGACACACAGATGGCTTTGGGGTGACTGACGGAGCAGCAAACATGGTGAAGGCTCTCCGTGATGGTAGCTTTAGTAGCCGTGCACTGCTCAGCTCGTATCCTTCATTTAGTAGGATATGTAGGATAGTGAAGGCTGCTATCAAACAGGAAAGCAGTGGACGGTTGGCAACCCTGCTTGAGAAATGCAGAAAGATTGCTGGCCACTTCTACCGAAGTGTGAAGGATAGCCAGCTCCTGAGAAATGAGCAAAGGAAGGCAGGCATTGACCAGTATCATCTCAAGCAAGATGTAGGCACTAGGTAAAACTCCAATTTGTAGATGCTGTAGCACATCCTGGAGCAAGAGAAAGCAATCCATGCCATGTCCTATGAGCATTACATCAGGATCGATAGTCCCTTAGTCAGGGAGGATTGGTTAATGATTGGACAGCTAGTGGCAAACCGAAGACCATTCAGGGATGTTACAGAGAATTTAAGCCAAGATAATGCTAGCCTTGGTAAAGTAATCCCCTTGTTCACTCACCTCTCAAAGAAGACGAGTGGCTTAATTTCTAACCAGGAAGTGGTACCTGGTGGCCAACTACTTGGTGATGTTGCTGCACTTAGGAGGCTTAATGAGTGCATGGAGTCTTGCCAAGAGTTGATGCTTGCTTGCATTTCTGACCCAAGAATAAAGGGCAAGATGGCACTCCACATGAATTCCCTGACCGCTTGGAGGGATAAATTGATTGACAGGGTGCGTGATGTGCAAAGAAAGAGGTTAAGGTTGTTTGAGAGAGAAGAAGAGCTGGAGGAGCCTGATAGTGTAGCACCTAGCATCTAGCAGTGTAAGCAGCACTGCTCAATCCACTTGAGCAGCTGCGTTTTGGGATGAAGCCCTGTATAGTTTGGTAGGACCCACTACAGTTCCCTCAAGAAAAGGAAGTGGTGCCGCAGAGATGGTGAAAGCTTTCCTTGGTGAACCAGCTATGCCCTCCTACTACAGATCCTTTGAGCTTTTGGGATGAGAAAAGGGATGTGTGGCCTGCTCTCTCTCTGTTAGACCAGTAGCTCCTCTCTAGTCCCCCAACCCCTGTCCAGAGTGTACGTGTTTTTTCGGTTACTGGAAACAAACTTTGCCCTAAACGCTCCCAACTGGCACCGCAGCTCATGGAGCAAATGGCCTTCCAAAAAGTCAATCTGTCCAAGTTGAGTTACCCCACTCTTAGCTTTGACACAGACTGAACTACTTACATACCTTCCGTCTGTTTTTCTCTATTTTGTCATTTTATACTTCTACGTTAAGCCCGGCCACTCTAAGGACTGGTAATACGTTAACTATCTTTCCTTAGTAGATATCTGTGGCTCAGGTTTGCGTGTTGGGATATACCTTCCTTGACAGTGTTTTCTCTTCTGTTTAATCGTTAACTCTGCCCCACTTTATGCCCGACTCTTTCCCTGAGGAAGGCGCCGTGTTAGCACTGAAACACGCTTTGGGTTTTGGGCTTTAAGTGGTTTTTTTTTACTCACTTAACTCACTATGGGATGGGTGTTTGTTTGTTTACCTTCATTTATTGATATATTTTTTTGACATGTTTATCCTACCAGCTAGTTGGAAAAATAAAATAAGCATTCAGAGAGGTATTCCACAACCATTACTTTATAATATAGAATTATGTTCTGAACAAAATTGCATATCTCATTGCTCTTAATTTGTTGAATTGATCTAAAAAAAAATAAAAAATGGTGTGCTGAGTTGTGTAATAGTTTGCCAACTCCTCGTTGATGTGTTCTGGGTGGAACAGCTCTGTATTCGCTTGAAATATGAGATTTGGCTCCCTGAGATGGACAACTCACGGAGGTGCCATAACTGAGCCATCGCCATGGACTTTTTCAGACTTTTTCTGACTTGCATAGGACTCTGCTTTGTGACCTAAACCTGAGACAGGAGGATTCCCTGGTCGATAGTTTGTTGGTAAGTAATGGTATGTCAATACGTCAGGCACATTAAATCAACTGCACTCTTAACACTCCCATCACTACTCGAATGCAGTTACACACCCAGTAAGCTTGATCCCAAACACACCAGTGCAATTCACCACTGCTGTGGATAAGGTATAACACAATTCTAATAGTTATACATGCATACAGCAGCCACAACGTCTGCAATTTTATGTCCAATATCCATGCTGCACTGCTTCTTGCTTTTACTTGTGCACAACCTGCCCTGGGCTTAATGCGCTGCTCACACACAAATTAAGCATTCATTGAACTGTGTCCCATCACTATAACGTTTTATAGGCAAGTGTACTTCACATTCACACTATAAACTGACATGACAATCCTCAGCACTCCTCCCATATGTATATTAACAACAATTCCTGTCTCCTCCAACAGGTGACACAAGATATAGAGTCAAAGCCTGGCTGCTTACATGTCACACAGCATCTTTGTCTTGTTGAGCAAGTCTACAATGAGACCCACCTTAGGACCTGGTCCATAATTAACCATATCTTTAGCTCACTTTTGTGTGACCGAGCTATACTCCCCTGAAAAGGTCACTGGTGTTGTCATTGACTGCTGTTGCCAACAGAATCTGGTGCATCAGGGGATTCATGCATAATCATTCCTGAAGACTTCTAAAGGTACATCTTTTTTGATCATTATATATATATATATATATATATATATATATATATATATATATATACACACACACATATATATATATATATATATACATACATACACACATACACACACACACACACACACCTCAAAAAAATAAAGGGAACACAAAACTTCTGAAATACTTTGTTCTTTACATAGTTGAATGTGCTGACAACAAAATCACACAAAAATTAAAAAATGGAAATCAAATTTTTCAACCGATGGAGGTCTGGATTTGGAGTCACACTCAAAATTAAAGTGGAAAAACACACTACAAGCTGATCCAACTTTGATGTAATGTCCTTAAAACAAATCAAAATGAGGCACAGTAGTGTGTGTGGCCTCGACGTGCCTGTATGACCTCCCTACAACGCCTGTGCATGCTCCTGATGAGGTGGCGGATGGTCTGAGGGATCTCCTCCCAGACCTGGACTAAAGCATCTGCCAACTCCTGGACGGTCTGTGGTGCAACATGACGTTGGTGGATGGAGTGAAAAACAGGCAACCTTAATCTGGCTCTAAGTTACTACAACCACCATGAACACTTCAAAAGCAAACAATAATATGCTTAAAAGATAGTATTTCTTAACGACGTTACAGAGAGTGACAGATCTTTGTAGTGGTCTTTGAATCAGCAAGTCAGGGACACACCAGGAGAGGAGAGTGGAGTGGAGCATAGGAGAAAGAGAGAACGTGGCCCTTTGTCCTCAGTTCTTTATAGGCAAAATTACGTAATAACTTTTAATTTAGACTCTCCCCATATAAGGACCCTACACCCAATCTCCCTATACAGCACATTCCAGAGTCCTCATGGTACAGAATAGCAAAACATAATCTGTTCTTTTTAATCCATTAGACAGCCACACCTTAATATGTATTTGAATAGGAACATATAGAATATGTAATATTCTACATTTCCCTCTGTTTATGGTTTATTTATCAAACATTACACAATGTTATTTACCTGTCCATTTATATATCATTTGTATCATATTCATATCACAGTCATTGGGTATAAGAAATGTGTTTATAACTACCCGGTATATGATATTCCTTGGATGTATGGTGTATTACTCAGTTTACAGTTTCCTTTAGTGTATTCTCCTTCTGTTTAATATATAGTATATAGTATATAGTTTTCTAATTCTACATTGCATAACTACACATACTATAGATACACATATAACAAAAATAAATTGATTAAATATATTTACAATTGTGGATCCTACAGATGATTTTGCAAGTGTGTTTGTAATTTTAATTGTCATTCCACCAAGAGGAACTTGAAACAACTGACCATTCATGTTCTATCTCCTTTAAAATTTACCCTGTTCACGTTCAAATTAGGTTTCTATATCTTTCAACTGTTTTTTTAACGAATGTAGTAATACCTTGTCTTTCCTTATCTCATATGCCCACTTTCTCCATGGAAACTCATTTGTTTGTGAAACATTTTAATTGAATAGGCATGCTATCTATCTCTTGTATAGGACTCTTCAACATATTAACTTGAGTTCGTTGTATATGTATTATTAGTGGACCCCCACTGCTACAATATAAACCTTTTAGTAATGTTTCTGAATGTGTACATTCTGAAAATGTAGCTTTTTTTTTTTTACATAACCTGTACACATACTTTATTTTTTTCAATGGGTGTTACAATTTCATCAGGATTTTTATTTGTTTTAATTTTACCAGAACATGAATGATAAATGGTTTTAACTCGGTTATTTAAAACATTATTTTGGATGCGAAATGGAGACAACTAGAAAGATCTACCTGCTCAAGTTCAGTAATGTTATTATAAGAAACAAAATCAGGATATTGTAATTTATAAAATATTAATTGTGTGTTACTAATA